TATAAAGACGCTTAAGTGTTTATCCCCTTTATACACAGAGATATCCTGGACCTGTTCAGACAACATGGAAACCTTACTCTGACCCATGTGTTCATACTCCTCATGGTACAGGATGCACATCATTTTTTCTGCAGAACCTTCTCTTACTCAGAGTGTTGCAGGGATCTTTCTGGTAAAATTGTCTTTAAGATTTCCTGCTTTGCTTGTTTATTTGTTTGTTTGTTGCAGAACATTTATAATTCATAATTTGAAGTGACTGAATGAGGAAAATGCTGAAAAGAACAAGGACAGTATCATCAAGATGCTTGAGTGCCACTAAGTTTGTTTGTGAAGCCAGTTAGAAGATTTATATCAAATTAGAACTGTGGTTTTTAACTGTGCATTCTTTATTTTCTGGACAATGAGCTTGAAACACTAAGACTGAACATGCAGAAGTGCTGAAATTTTGGTTACTACTGAAACCAATGGGAACCATACTCTGAACATATAGCATTGCATGTACCGCCAAGTACTCTGAAAAAAAAACAGATCCCAAGTTGTGTTCAACTAGGTATGTCAAGAAGAAGATAAAGGACACTGGAGGTAGAAGAGGAAGAGAAGAATGCAGAGCATTCTGCATTGATTGCAGGTAGAACTGAAGCAAAGAAACAGTAACAATACACATGGCAGAAGCAGCCAGTCATGAGAAGGGTTATTCTGTATGCAAAAATCCTGGGAATGACAATCTGAAATCTGGGACTGGAGTTGCGGAAAAGGTGTGAAGGAAGGCATGAGTTAAACAATTCTGTTCAACCTCTGAATGTTTTATTGCAGGGAAAACACCTCTTACCAGCACAGGGTTACTCTGGGAACTTGTGGTAATCTTGGGTTATTGTGGTAATACTAATACTATTGTCCCTTGACCCAGTCCACACCAGTCATGACACTTCAGATCTTTCCCAGGAAAAGGAACTCATTTAATATAAAAGCATGGGTAGATTTGACATGCAATACTTACAGAGTGAGGTTTCTTTACTAACTTTGCACAGGTGGAGAGTCTTACAGGACTCTCGGATGTTCTGTGACTGAATTTCTTCCCAAAGGAAATCTGTTAAATAAAATGAGAGGTACCATACTCTATACATTTTATGACCTAGTCATATTGGTGTAAACTAGCCTCTCATTTTGCAGCTAGACAGTTTCCAATGCCTGATTTAACTGGTTATGCTTTGCTTGGGTTCTTCTAAATGACACTGCAACCTTTGAAATGAATAGATAATAGAAATAAACCCAGAAATAGATTCTAATCTTATTATGCATTACCTGTTTTACAGTAAAGCGTAGAGGCTGCGATGGAGATAAAATGATTATGTACTTGGTACTTTACAATGCACACACTAAAAGACAGCAGGACAATGACTCATGTTAACAAAACAGGGATTCAAATCTCCAGTAGTAATGGGATTTGATTTTCAATGGGTTTTATCTAAGCATTTGGAAGTAAAGGAATGGATCAATGGCACCATATTTGACGAAGATCTAGTAAAGGACACAAGTGGAGTTGTATCCCTATTTTAGCCTTTAACTATAGCTTTACTTTATGTAGACTGTATTGTATCATACTATAAAATACCTGCTGCAACTATTAGGTAGTTCATCTTCACATAGTTAAGAGAACACTTATAATGTTAATGATCAGCTTTTGAGTAGAAATTGATCAGTTGCCTCACTTCTCTGTAGAAACTTTCAGACAAAAAATGTGGGTTTGGATTTGCATAGGTCAAAAACTAGGGACAATCAGAATGGTGTTTCAGCTGAATGCAAAGCCTAATGTCCCAGCATCAAATCTGGAGCTTAAACTTGGCCTCAGAAGCAAGAAAATGACAAGTAAGAGAAAAGTCCAGCAGATAGACCTTTGTTAACTTGCATTTTAATGCTGGTACAGAGGAAGTGCGGTAGTTTCTGTCAATGAAAATATTTCTAATTGATAGAATTGATTTTCCCTCAAAAAGAAGCAATTCCAATATAGCACTAGGTGAACTAGAGACCTTCTGCATGCCTCTGAGTCCATCATTCTCTCTCTTAGAAATATAAATGGAGACGCTGATTTAAATCATTATTGCACCTGAAAGTTAACCTAATATGCTATGATATTTTATTTGCGTTCTATGGAGAGGAGGTATGAAAATAAGGTATGACAGTCTCATTTTTTATTATGAAGGATCAGATCCAGAAATCATAAGTAAGATAAGTGAACCACATCATTATCATAGAGCATTTGATCATGTAAGATTAAAAAGAACGGATCTGAAAATGCCAACAACAGCTTTACTGAAATGTTTCATTCAATTTAATATTGCAGATGCAGAGAGTAGGAATACAGTCCCGTGAAAAAGAAAGAGAAGCTACAGAAAGAAGTGTAAGGGCTTTCAGATCAAATGCAATGTCAGCATCTTTTAACATTTCTGCTACCCTCCCCATACATTAATATTTTTTTTAATATGTTAATACTTCTGCTTATGCAGCCAACTGTAGATTGGTATGATCACAAACAGTTACACAAATCTGGACATGTTACTCCAAACCAATCTTAAAAAATACTCTCCCATGTTACCTGTATAGGTCTATTGAGTGAATGGAGATGAAATACAATTTGAAGAGGCAATATTTATTTGAATAATTAGTAATACTATTAATTATTAATAAAATATTTTAGAATAAGAAGTCATAAAAATATAAATAATACCATAATTAACAATAAAATTATATTATCATAAATATTTGGAAATTATTTTTCCATGTCTCATGTATTTTGAAACATTTCATAATAATTTCTGAAAAGAATCAGCACAAGATAATGGAAGTTAACATGACAAGAGGATTAATTGATGTGGTAACCACTTAGGAGTGTAAGGATAATGTGATCCATGGTGTATAACAGATCTGAGACTTTCAGCCAAAAATGCAGATATAGGGAACCACTTTTGATGGTGCCTTAAAGGGGTTAAATTTAATGGTAGATCACTTTCAGCCTAATTTTTGATGGTCACACAAAGGAAATCATCAGTAGTGACAAAAATGGGATCTCTGAGAGGTCATAGTACTTTCCTGAACATGCAGGAAATGTTAACCTGGGTATATGAAACCACAGCATATTGACTGTTCATATGCATTGATTTCTCAGTTGTAAGCAATGTAATGATTCATAAAGCATATTTTACTTCTCACCAATAGAATTACTTAATAGGTTTTTGTGTGTTACCCAGCTGAGTTTACCATAAATTTACCATACTATTTGATAATTTCTTTAATTACTCACCAGATATATCTGTTAAAATTTTTCTTTTTCAGATCTTCATCCTGGAACTTTGATAGTAACTGTTAGAGGCAATAACAGTCCCTTAAATTTTCATTGCATGTATTTATTTATACATGTAAATTCTAGACACTTCTACACCAATGAAGTTGCCAGAGGTATAACTCATTACTGAAATCAACCAATTTTTTTTCTCGACACATCCAATTTTATTTGGTTATGTAATTTTTATTTAAATAATAATACCCAGTTGTACTTTTAAAATGTTCAGGAAAGACAGCATCTTTTCTTGCTTCTGTTTACTGCTTAGGGAGAAAAGTCCGCCTTTTATTTCTCTCTGAATGTTGAAGTTACTTCCTCAAATATAACTGCTCCAACAGAGAGAATACGTATTCTTTTTCAGAAAAAAAAATCACAGAAAATCATGTTTGAAGGAATCTCAAACAGCCATTTAGTCTATTCCCCTGCCCCAGGGCACTGTCAACAGCACTTACACCATTCTCAGATAGGTGTTTTTCTAAACTGTTCTTAAAAACCACCAGTGATGGAATTTGGTAGTCTTCTTGGGCAACCTATAGGGGTAGTTCATTATCCTTGCAAAGAGAAATTTTCATTCAGTCTCTAACCTAATCTTCATTTGCAGTTTTAAACCTAATTATGTCTTGTCCTCTTGCTAGAGAACACGAAGACCGTCACAGTACCTTCTTCTTTGCAGGATCTGTTTGATTACATGTGGAATTATGGGACCTATCCACCCACCAAACTGTGTTTCTCTGCACCCCAGGTTAAAACAAGATAAAAGATTAATTCACCAAAGTAATATAGTTGTAAATAAATATATTAACATATGCACAGAACATTGTTCACTCTCTCATTGCTCCTAAGATAAGGAACATTCCAAAGAACGTTCTTTCAGTTCTGTAATTTTATGTCTCCTGGAATAACAAGCACCTAGAAAATCTATGGTTTTTTATTGTTGGTAAAATCAGTCTAATTTGTTATGGTGAAATTGTGTTCTCTGGGAAAGGAAACAGCTGAAGTAGCACTAAAACTGCTCATGTGAAAAGAAGAATCCCTCAAGGAAAGGTCTGTATTACTGTCTCTCCAATGCTGAAGGATTTTCGCTGCAAAGTCCTGTGTTGTGCCTGGCCTGTGGATAAATGCTGACCTTGGATGGTGTTTGATTTCTCCATTTTCAGAAGCAAAGTAGCTACATGGACAGGTGCAAACTCATTAAAAAAACCTGTGTCTGATAAAACTTTATTGTGTTTTTTGAGAAGTTAAGTTGCTATCATTTACCATAAGGATGAAAATTTTTTAAAAAGTGAAGTAATTCGTTCCAAGTTCCTACTCAAAAGTCACTCGGAAGTCCCTTAAATTGTATTTATCCCATAATATATAATGATTTGGGAAGACTAAGCCTGAGCTAAAATTCTTCCTGCTCACTTCTTGACATCTCATCAAAAAGACCTGTAGAAAGAAGACTCCTCCTAGAGTGCAAATATCTGAGGGAAAGTCAGAGCATCCTCTATTTACCTGTGCACCTACAAGGGAAAACTAAAATGTCTGAAGCCCCACCTTTTAAGAACCTTGTGAAACAATCTGGGAACTGAGCCAAAACCTCCTCTCTCACTATATAAGACTCAGGAGCAGACAGGTGTTTCCTCAGAGGCAAGTTCGGTAGTTTCTACCGGACTTCCAGAAGATGGGCACAGGTGGTGGGACGCGAATACCACTATGGATATCAATACTAGCACTTGCCTTCATAGAGATCAAAGGTAGGAAGATTCACTTGCTTGGTGTTTTTACTGCTTTAAAGAATTTATAACTGGCTTTGGAGTTTGAAAGGTTTTTTTTTCCTCTGCTTTGTGAAGCTAATGAACCTGTTACATTTATGCAAGATTCGCTTTTCTGTTACAAATAATTTCCTTCCTAAGAAGAGGAAATCGACTGTCTTGAAAATTTATATTGTAGTCCATGTTCTAATGCTATTTTCTCCAGCTCAGATCTGGAATAGCTTCCCCAAATTCAGTGGAACTCACTCAGAACATGCATTTCTACCAAAATGCCTCACGATTCGCATTTAGCTTTTGATGTCCACTTCAAGGTGGTACAGCATTTCTAATTGCACAAACCAAAATGTGCAGAAGTGGCTTTAGGAAGGAACAAATCAGTGGTGTCTATCTGCATGCATTATTAAAAGTTTTGTCTGTTTTATCAGCTGATGATACAGTATTGAAAAAAGAAGGGATTTTGCTTCAAAAACATCAGACTACAGATTTTAAAAGCTCATCTATTCTTGCATACAGAGCACAGGGTTGTTTTCTGATAGAGTGAAAACGAATGGAGTTTCCTTAAATATTCTAAGAGGGCACTTAATACTCACAGATGAGTGGAAATCTTTTATATGTATACTTCACCTGTTAATTTCCCTTAAAGTTTAAGGTAACAACAACATTTTAGTGCATTTTGATCTCAGATGTAGATTGTATTATTTTACTTTTTCCTACTTCCAGGTAGTTCCACACTAACTTATGTTAATAAGTGGTAGTGTCAAAGGATAGCCCATTAAAAGTCTTGTTGTAGCATTACCACATTGTGCAACAGAAACAGGAATCTGCAAGACACATGGTGTGAGGCAGAGCATTGGAGCCATACAGTGCATGGAGAGAGAAGCAAAAAGCTCTCTGAGGCTAGGCAGTGGAGAAGGGGAGCCGAAATGATTCATAGTTTAAAAACAGGCAAAATGTGTCCCTCCAACACCAGCCGCAGACCCCCAGCTGGTGCAAAAAGGAAGGGACTTGGGGAGGTCTTGCAGCTCTGATTCCAGCATTAGCCCCTCTAGCGGTGCTACCCACGGGCTGCCCTTGTCATGGGGTGCGGCAAAGGGCGAGCCTGTCTTTTCAGTTTTCTCCGGCCAGCATAGCCTCCCCTGCAATCTGCCCTCTGATGAACTCTCACTAAGTGGTGCATTAAAAGCCCCTCTGGCCCCTGCAGGTTTTGTGCGTATTCCTATTCTAAAGCTGCAGTGGAACGCAATGAAAAATTATTTCTTCGCTGGAAACAAAAAGTTTTGCTTTGGGGCAAAATCCACAGTCACAAATGTATCTATTGAAAAGACCTATTTCTTTCTGACTTTTGCATTTGTTTTCCTTCAGCTGCTTATTACAAAAAGTGCTTGAAACTTTAAAGCCCTCTGGCTAGACAAGCAGTTTTAGTGATGCTTAAAGCACACAGTGATCACAAAAACTAAGAAAATGCAGTTCTTTATCTGAAAAGCTTATAAGGGCATCCAGGAGTACTGTGACAATAATAGAATAAGGATCTGCTCAAATTATCACAGGCACCTTTTTGAAGGCTTCCCTGCAGTAATTTATTAGAAAAAAAGAAAAAAAAAAAGCTGAAGGAGTGGTATATGACCATCATGGCTGCATGTAGCACAGGTCCTGATGCAAATCTGACCTCATGTGCATGAACATAGCTTTGCTGATTTTTGGTATACTGACTGTTGCTAGTTTAAATAGACAGAATTGAGAAATTTTGAGGGAGCTAAGAAAATTAGACATTAACATTTTCCTCCTTACTCTTCTTGATGCAGTTCAAGCCCAGGATAATGACCAACAAACAAAATCAAACTCTGTTTCTCCATCCATCCTGCAGCGACAAAAATGTAAGACTTTTATTTCTAAGATCCTGTTCCGAATTAAATTGATAAATAATAAGATTACTAGAATCTTCTCATTCCTAGCTAGAACATATTTTCCCTTCCACTGCCCCCCCAAACAAAACAAAGAAAAATTTAAAAAAAAAAGAGAGAGAAATCCTCTGTACAATATATCCAATTCCCAGCCAATCTCTGACTTCTCTAAACTGGAGAACTTCCTCTGAGGTCTGGCCCAGTCATCTGGTCTACGGATATGACAGAGTTATCTAATCTTTAACTTCACGAAAGGTATGTACCTTCTATCTAAAAGTGTATTTTCAGAAGAGGTGTGTGTATACATACCTATCACCCAGGTACCTGATAGTAGGTAATAAATGGTACATATTTCATGCTGCATCAAGATAGCTGCATCACTCACAGGAGAATAAGAAAAGGGTAACTACCTTAAACATTAGAATAATTAAGCACTACAAGATCATACATGACACATAACTGTACAGAGCAAAATCAGAGTGGAAGGATACAATGTTGACTGGTATATTAGTGATGACAGGCTGAAATAATTAATCATTAAGCCTGCCCTGCAATCTGCAGTTTGTTAGGTCACCAGCTGGAAATTAAAACAGGTCAAGGAAGAAAATATGTGTGCTTTCTCTTAAAATCCTTACATCAAGAATGAATGAGATTGTCTTTCTGAAACATCTATTTGTCTTAGATTTTTTTTGGTCTAAATGCAGAAGTCAATGACTGATATTTCACAGTCTACAGTTTGTAAGTCACAAAATTCTATGATTTTGATAATTTTGAGGAGGAAACTACATCAATTCTTCAGACTCTCGTGTTAAGAAAATCTCATTGTAGGTTCTCTAAGTATTCTATCCTTTTCATTGCTGGATCCAAAGAGGAAATATTGTATTTGGACATGGAAAATTTAAGGCGGCGTCCTACCAGTAGAAGTCTTTGCATGAAAAGCACATGATCAAAGTTCACAGAATTTAAACTGCTTTTTAAAAAAATCTGCTTAGAGTTGGTTATGCAAAAGTGTATGTCTCAGCACAAAGAAAGATATGAGCTTCAGAAAAAAAACAGCTCCTCTTTCTCATCCTCAGGTTCTAATATACTTCAGTAACTTTCTGCTTCTAAGTGTACTGAGAGGCAAAGGTTCGGACATAGACATTAGCACTGCTTTTTCTGCATCGCTATTACAACACTGTGCTCTAAGGATCAGACTCCCGCTTCTGAGTTCAGAACATCAGGGCCAGCATCAAATGAGTGTCTTGAACAAATAATGGAAGAAAGTATTACAGCTAAAGAACATGGTCTATGGGATTTGGCTGTTAATGAAATATATAGGAAGACAGAACGCAAAGCACTGTGTAAAAACAACCAATAAAACCCCTTGCGGATACTTCCCCCTAGAGTGTAACTAATAGTAGGAAAAGTTAACACTAAAGAGACTAGGCAATCTCTATCCATACTTTAGGACTTCTAATAAGATTAAACTTGATTATTTTTCCCTCAGATTTTCCACCAGTTTCGAAATCCCAAGAAGTGGCAATCATACCACCTTTTAAAAACACACTGAAATTAAAGGGTAAGTTAAACAAATGTCATGGCTCAGAGATCTGTGTTCTTGTTGATCACACACGTAGAGCATGGAGTGACTGAAGAAATTAATAAATTGTGTAAGATCCTTTAACATCATAAATAAGAAATGAACAAGAAAAGTAGTCAGATCACCAGGTAACAGGGATAATCTAAATGTGACCCCAGTACTCAGTCTGCATTTTGTTAATATGATGCAGCTGTAAAAAAGAAATTTATATTTTTATGTATCTATAATAATACTAGGATAAATCACACATTATATTTCCAGTAAAGACAGTGAAATATTAATGTGTTCAAAGCACTGGTGAGATATCTTACCTAGGGTATAAAGTACAATTCTGACTAGCTGTGTTCAAGCAGGATGAGTGTAAATCTGGAAGAGGCACAGAGAGGGACTGTGAGGAATATCAGGGAGAGAGGAGACCCTGCTTCTAAGGAAATGAAGACTGAAATGAGCTAAGTTATTTCTGTAATGGGTTGGGGGAAGAGCAGGGAGGTGGAACTGCTTCAAAGTGGGGTGTAATACTGTACAAGAACAACCAGAAATACATGAGACAGGAATACATTTTGGAAGATGATGGCAAAAGTCTTCCAACCATTCAAAGCATGCAGCTTTGAGTGGTCTTCTCTAGTAGGACTAACAGCTAGTTTTAAACTAACTTTAAATGGGTTTTATGGTGAAACTTTAGAACTTCATATATTTAGGAAATGATTTATAGAATATGGCTGTCAGCAGTACCAGAGCATTGGACATCGCGACCCGGAAGGTCTCTTTCGATCTTAGGCCTTACATCCCTATGCAAAACAGATTAAACGCAAAAGATAAGTGAACTAAACAAATAACAGATTGATAAACAAATAGCTTGACAAGAAGGAAAATGGATGGCTTTCTGGACAGAGGCTAGTGAAAGAAATCAAAGGGGAAAAGCATTTAAAGGGAGGGTATCTACAGCAAATTACAGAAAATTCTTACTGCTTATTTCAAATCCACAGCTGGCAACCCCTCTCACAATGGCCGTGTGTGCAGCACATGGGGTAACTTCCACTTCAAGACTTTTGACGGAGACATCTTTTACTTCCCTGGAGTCTGCAATTACATCTTTGCATCCAACTGCAAATCTCCTTATGAGGACTTCAACATCCAGATTAGGCGTTCAACGGTGCAAAATGCTACCACGATCACTCATGTCCTCATGAAGCTGGAAGGAACAGTGATTGAACTGACCCGTGGCTCTGTCCTGCTTGATGGCAAACCGTATGTTCATAACTTGAAGCTGCCATCACTGCTCTTGCTCCTAGTGGGCTCTTTGAGCGAGCTTCCCTTTCCCTCACCCAACCTCACACCGCTCCCAGGCAGCTGGAAGGCTCAGGCCCTTCCTGAAGTATCAACAAAAATAAGAGGGCCTGACAGTGAGCTAAGTGCCACTTCTGTAGATTATCCCAGTATCTATTTTGTTCAGATGAGCTATATCCCAGATGCTGTCTCACTGCTACAATTGTGTATGTATGTATACAGTTGAGTCTATAAACTGGATTCAGTCAAAAGTGTTAGGGTTTTACACCCTTTCAGTTTCCACTTTCAATTAATTTTACCAGAACAGGATCTTTGGGAGGAATTTTTGACAGTTTTTGTCCTTGTGTTGAACAGTATGCAGTAAGCAGTGACTGCAGCTTGTATCTGCACTCAGTTAAAATGAGCTAGTCTGGAAACTTGCTACCTGTGTAGCAGCGGTAGCACTGACTTTGGCATAGGGTGTGAAACTGTCCAAAAGGCTGGGTAAATATTTGGGCAGCTATCCCACAGTGAGTTGTGTGTTATAGCAGGTATGTACAGCAAGCTAGTCTAAAGGTTGTCTTTGCTACACCTTCGTAAAAGGCACTCATGTCACAGAAAGCCTGAAGAGTCTATCCCTGCATTATCAAGGGCTTTAATGGATAAATAGCAATATCTTGAAGCATGTTGCCTGCAAAACAGAACCTCCCAGCACTTGCTTGAGCAACACAGCTGAAGACACATGACAACATTTTACCTAGCAAAACAACTTTAAAAAAGAGAGCCAAAAGGAGCAGCAGGCAAAGCAAGGCTAATCCATTTGTACAATGAGAAGCAACTGCATAGGAAACAGACAAAGTGTTACAATTTTGTGTTGTCTGTATTTAGTTACTGCTCTGACTAATTTCCTCACTTCTGTGTGTTGAAGTTTCTCAAACAGAATGAGAAAGTATATCAGTGTGGATATTCAACGGATATTTTGTATCTACCCCCCACTGAATTACAGTGATCTTTCTCCAGGGTTCAGATGCCTTACAGCCATATGGGAGTCTTGATAGAGAGAAGTAATAGCTATTTGAAAGTTTCTGCCAAGTTAGGACTGACCTGCCTTTGGAATGAAGAGGATGCCCTCCTGGTAAGAAAACATCCAAAACATAGCAGAAAGACTGTATTTTGAAAGTAGTCTGTTTACATCTTCACAGTCTTAATCAGCTGGGCAGACATTAGTTACCTTTGGATTTGTGTCCATTTTTAGTGTATTTTTCTGTCTTCCATTCTAGTCCCAATTTCCCTTCTTTTTCCATCAAGCTCAGCTCAGGATCAATAGACGTCCAATTATAACATCCCCACCTCACAGTGAAGTACTCCTCAGATTCCAGACCTGACAATGTGCTGATGTTCACAGCCGCAGCCCTAGAACAACATCAAGTTTTTCTTGGTGACCACTGACCTTCCCAATGGTGCCTACCTTGTTACCACATGACACAGTCTGCACAGCATATATATGTCAAATTTTGAGTACATAAGCAATATTGACGTAGGCTGTGTTCCTAACCACCAGGACTAACATTACTATGAACCTAAGCTCTCTTTCCTCATTTCTTTTAGGTGGAACTAGACAAGAAATATGCCAATCAAACTTGTGGGCTTTGTGGGGACTTCAATGGAATTCCAATCAACAATGAATTTATTTCAGAGAGTAAGTAATAAAAAGCATTATGAAATATCGGCACTTTGTCTTTCTTTCTTTTAGCAGTTTACTGTAACATATGTTGTAGGTCATAACTGCCAAACTAGTGATACTTGTTTATGTATTTCTATGATGTCAGTTACGTATAATGTTTTTGATATGTATTAGGCTGCTTCCATCACTGTTAGATCTTTTAAGACCTGCCACATCAAGTTTCCACTTGTTTTCAATAGTTAGGATCCAGTTCCTTGTATACCTTCTTCATCTCCTTTTGCCTTTCATATTATAGTGATATTATTTGGTAATTGCTGTTCATGTCACAGCAGGTAGTGTCAGAAAAGAAAACATCTCCATGCAAAAGCCAATAAAACAGTAAATATCATTCTAACATTTGGACTGCTTTCTACAGAGACAAAACTGACTCCCATACAGTTTGGGAATAGGCAGAAGATGGACGGACCCACAGAGCAGTGTGCTGATCCTATTCCTCCTGCTGTTCTGGTGAACTGCTCAGCTGAATTTGTAAGGACCTCTCTCTCAAAATTTGTTTTGTCAGTGTAAAACACATTCTCCCTGTCTTTGGTGAAAATTTGGTAGAATTGGAAAAATACAGCATGAATATGACTCAACTGTAGGTCTCAAAAGAAAATTTTTCTAAATTTAATTTTTTATTCTTTACTAAAGCGAATGCTAAAAAGATGCATTCCCCTTCTGAGAGAAGACTGGATATTTTTATGAAAGAGGAATTCACTGAGGATGTCTTACTACAATGAAACAATATAATGCTTGGGAAGTCACCTGAGCTGAAAGTAACTCAAGATATGGGAAGATATGGGAATTAATCAAAGGAGTTCCATGTGTACTTGCTCTGTTGTTCGACTTTTCCCTAAACATCAGCTTATGGCTATTGTTGGACAGGTCTCTGGACCAGATGGACCTTTGGTTTGTTCTGCTACATGCCTTAAATAACTAATTTCATATTTTCTAAACTCTTGCTCTACTTTCTCTGTTTTCCCTCCTAGGCTTCTATCTGTGAGACAGTACTAACCAGTAATGCATTTACAAGCTGTAATGCACTTGTGAATGTTCAGGACTACATCGAAACTTGTGTACAAGACCTATGCCACTGTGATAGCTCTATGGCTGACTTCTGCATGTGCAACACCTTTGCTGAATACTCGCGGCAGTGCGCTCATGCAGGTGGACAGCCTCAGAATTGGAGAACGTCAAAACTGTGTTGTAAGTGTCTCAGGAAGGGACTTTCACCTGTGCTTACTACCCACATCTAGTAAACTTTAAATATATGAATTTTTTTCCTGAAGAAGACAGCCATTTAAAGGTGCATGTAATTTTCATAAGATCAGTTTTAACCTGAGCATACTCAAGACTTTGGGAATGCAGAAGCTTAGAGGATTTTGCATTACTAAGGGTTTTCAGTGTATACCAGAAAGTCTAAAATGTTACAGCCTCCACTTGGATTGGGATTCTCCGTTATATCTTGACAGAAATCATCTTAAATTGCAAATACTGTTTTCTCAGCATTTCAAAGGAAAAATCAGCGTTATGATACTCCTTCTACTTTCAGCCAAAGTGTGTCCTTTCAACATGCAATACCAGGAATGTGGGTCCCCCTGCTCTGACACATGCAGCAACCCGGAACGATCCGCACTTTGTGAAGATCATTGTACAGATGGCTGCGTCTGTCCTCCAGGCAAGCTTCTTTCCTGCCCTTTTCTCATAGGCAAAATTGCTAGAACACTTACCTGTACACATTTAACGGCTTTCCTACTTTATCATTCTCACCACATTACTGCTGTTCTTATCATCAAAGTAATAACTACATTTCTTCCTTGCTGCACATTTCTATTCAGTTTATTAAAAATGCCCTTTTAAACAACAAACGTGTCCAAGACATGTACATAATGACTGACCTGAGAAGAAGATATTTCACTCCTAACAATAAGGGGAAGTCTTCTATTCTCAGCATCTATATTCAGTTCACAGCAAGCATGTATGTTCAGTCAAATTTTGCCCACAATGATAACTCCTGGTGTTAGCAAAGTTGTGTCTGGTTCCCCAGATTACCAAACGCTTCCTGTCCAGCACTGCGTGTCTAAACAAGGAGCTGAGAGAGCATTAAACAGTGTGTAAAATTTGGTGCTTCAGAGAATTATGCAGGAGAACTGAATATCAGTACAAGACAAACAACAGAAGTGTGTTCTCTGTGCACGCTTGCTTCTGGGGCTGAGAACTGTTGTTGTTGTGAGTGACTGCATGGTAGGATCTTCATCCTTTGTGGGTCTTCTGCCCATCCTTCATGAAGGCTCACAGAATTCACCATCACTTTTTTGTATAATAGCACTGACTTCTCTTAGATAATGCTCTGCCTTTGGGTATAAAAATATTTACTGTACAAATATGTCCCTGGGCAGTCTTACAAATGGTTCATCTATTTCACCTTATTATCTAGTAATTTTAACCCTAATTCCAGTCTAATGACGTCCATAACAGAAAGGTGTTTCCCTAGACATCTTTTTTCATCACCCCAAGATTTTAGATAGGCTTATAAGGAATATAGCCCTTCAATTCTACGTAGCTGGCATCCTATTATTTTAAAGTACTTTCTATTCATTTTCTGTGTAATACAGAAGACATGGAACTTGCTTTCAGGCATCTGCCAGATACGTGTACAAAAGCAGGTTCTATAGTGCACAGAATGACTAACAGACCATTTCTTTCCCTAGGAATGGTATTTGATGACATTAATGCTGCTGGCTGTGTTCCCCGTAAAGAATGCCACTGTACCTATGAAGGTGAAACTTACGCTCCTGGTGCCTCTTTCTCATCTAAATGCAGATCATGGTAACATACTCTCTTTCTCATAACTTTTTATTAGGGTGCGTTACCTGAACATTTTGAAGACAGGGGAAAATCACTTATTTCCCCTTAAAAAGAAATGAGGAGCTACTTGTCAACTGAAGTTCTTTGATTTCACATTTTTAGAGGATACTTACATCTCTGTTTTCTCCTTATACTTGGAAGCAAAAAATTTGAGTTTAGATATAGGTACTCCAATTTCAAGACCAAGCAATTAAAGGAGGCAATCAAAGTCAAATATCAGAGGTGTTTAAAAATGTGCATCACTGTGTTACATACAAGGGACAATGGGCACAAACTGAAGCAGAGGAAGTTCCGTCTGAACATGAGGAAGAATTTCTTCCCTCTGAGGGTGATGGAGCACTGGAACAGGCTGCCCAGGGAGGTTGTGGAGTCTCCTTCTCTGGAGATATTCAAGACCCGC